AGTTTGCTCCTCTCTTTGAAAAAGTAAAAGAAAAATTCTTTCTTTGGTATACAATCCCCCTGCACCCCTCCCTCAAAAAGTTATTTTGGAGCCATATCTCCCAGTCAAAAAGAAACTAACATATATACTCATAGACCTCTTTCTATACTTCAAATCAGATAATTATTGTAATCTGGCAATTTAGAATGTCAGACTAATGGAAATCATTAAAAACATAAACTCCTTAAATATCGAACGGGTACAAACTTGTTTAGCCCTTGAAAGCAAGAATTCTGTCTCCGCTTTTCACAAATGCAATGTTCTTTTTCCCACATTTCACACATGCTGCTCTAACAAATACACAGCAGTACTTTCAAAATTGTCATTCATATAAAGTTAATAAATACTTATATTTAGACAACAAGATATTCCAGTCTCCCCGAGGTGTGGAAAAAGTTGATCTTACCATAAGTATAAAAGATTTCCCAAATGCATTCAAGGCCATTATTTTCCAGGGTTCCTCGATGTTTTCTGGTATCGGTGTGTAAGTAAGAAAGGTCAGAAGAATACACAGCAACACAAAAAGAGCTTTCAACCCCGTCATCTCCTCTTTCAGCCTTTTCAGAGTGCTGAGTTGAAACACTCTCAGTGAACACTGCCTAGTAACAGAGAATTGTAGATTGGGACACTTGTAGATAATGTGAATTTGAGGCTAATTATTATTTCAAAATTTCACCATCAGTAGTGACTTGTTTTGAAATGCAAGTTCTATACAAGATCTATTTTAACATATCAGGTGATGTAATCCTATCATTTATGTATTACATATCCTTTATCAGGTGGTACACTGCTTCCATTCTTTTTCATTCCTATCATGGAATCCAAACTCCAACTGTTTTCTCCTCATCCTGTAGTATCCAGAATCCATAGTAACTAAACTACAAAGATCTAACTAAATATGAGCATTTTTAAAATGGTGAAAGAGTAAGCCATGACCTAAAACCCAGATTGATTGTTTGCATATGTTGTAAGAAAGAGCCTGGGGGAAAAAAATTAACTGACATTGTGTTACGTTACTAGCCAATGCTAGTATCTGTCTAGTAACAGAAATCAAAACAGAATTGCTTTCATTAAGAGAAACAATGAATGAATGGAATTCCAAAATCTCTGTAGATGTTCATTGAAATGAAAAATAAACAACCTAAATTTTAAAAAAAAAGAAAAAGAGAAATTTCTTTTCTCATGTTAGGAGACTCGTTCTTTCATTCAGTCACTCACACATTGCCCAGGACATGAAACTGACTCATAGCTGACATTCCACGTTCAGTTTCCAGGCTGTAAACTACACAGGAAAATTTCCAGCTACCCCTTTCTGTGGTATGTAAGAGAAGGCCTTGATAGCTTTAATCTTTTCCTTCTGACCAATGTTTATGCAACTTGGCCTCTCCGACTTCGCACCTCTGTTTATTTTCCTGGCTTGTACAATATCTGGTTTATATCTCAACTGATTGATTAAAAATACCCCCTATTCTGTGTCTGAGTTGCCTACTACTCGATGGCACTTAACATCACAAAGAGAGACCAGTTGACCTAGTGGATCAAAAACGATGCTACCCAGCCAAAGGTGGGTGACTCTAATCTGCGGCTTTAAGGCCTGTGTTAAATTGTTGTTGGTCAAACATTCTTCTAGGTCGTATAGCCCTGGTGTGTCCCCTTGCTGTACAGAGGTAACTTGTGGTTGTTGTGAAGCCAAACACTGTGACACTGATGTGTCAAATGTGATAACAGTTACCCATGGTAGAGAGGGTTTGGTGGTGCTCCCCGGTTAAAGCAAGCTTGGAAGCAGGAGTGGCATCCACTTTCGTAAATAGTTTGCCTCTGGAAACCCTATGAACCTGGGGAAAGGATGAAAGTCACGTACACAAGTGTCCAGGACTTTAGTTCATAAGGTTGCTATGAGTTGCCTACGACTCGATGTCACTTAACAACAACAACAACAACAACAACAACAACAACAACAACAACATTCTGTGTATTTTGTGTGATGGAAACTTGTGGAAAAGCTAAAATAAACATAGTTTTCCCCTGAATGGGTTAAAAAAGAAATCTCATAACTTGACAAATCAAAAGCCAATTAGTTTATTAAACAACAATCTGCATAAAAACTTTTCCTTTCATTTAGTGAGGAAAATAGATGAATATTAAAGTCATCAGTAGAAGAATTATACATTTATATGTATATACGGAGCTCTGCTGGCCTAGTCTTTAGAGCTGCCTTGCAGACCCAAAGGCTCAGCCTCTCTGTTGGTTCCAATCCACCCGTGACTTGAGGTACAAACATGAGCAGCCCCTTCTATGCAATTTACAGCCTCAGAAACACATTAGAGAGTCTGTTATGAGTTCGTTCTGACTTGGAAATTGTTTCTTGAGGGTTTTTTTTAGAGAGCAATGGCATTGTTTATAAACAGCTGTAGACTTACTGCATTGAGTAAATCCATTCCAAAAGAAAAAGAAGTGTGTTTACTTTGAAGACTTAGGTGAGCAAAGTCCAAGTCAGTGTTTGTTTTTTGATTTTTTTTTCTTCTCTCTTTTTTTTAATGGAGATTTTATGGTAAATTTATAAAGAATTTGGATTTTCATTCATTCATTATGGTACATTTTCCTCCCTACAACCCCTCCCCGCCCCGTCACGTTTTTCTTTGGGAAAAAGTTCTTTCATTGTTATACAGCCCCACCCCCAGACTACTTTACTGTGCTGGTCTTATTCTGAACTCTTGAAATACCAATGCTACCTAATCATTTATTCCTTTTATACAGTTCTCTCCCTCATCTGTTTCAATGCCATTTATATTATCAATCCCCTCTTTTCATAGTTTCACCCCAACACCTTGTCAGTCCTGTTTTATAACGGTGGCATTATATAGTATTTGTCTTTTTGTAACAGAGATATTTCACTCAGCATAATGTCCTCCATGATCACCCATTTTGTAGAATATTTCATGAGTTCTTTGTTTTTCAATGCATTATAGTATTCCATTGTGTGGATATACCACAGCTTCTCTATCCATTTGTTTGTTGATGGGCACTTGGGTTGTTTCCAACTCTTTGCTATTGTGAACAAAGCAACAATAAACATGAGTGTGCATATATCTGCTTGGGTAGTAGTTCTGCTTTAATTGGCATATATGCAATTGTTGAAAGCTCAACAATTAGTGAGCAATGGATAGACTTATCTTGGGCGGCCCTAGAGAATTAAAAATGTTTGTGAATGTTAATGTATACATACATAACGAAGTATATTGTGAATTGTATTTCACACATTGCTTAGCTGCCCTCATCAGCTTTATTGTTTCCTTTGGCTTAAAACTCTCCTCTATGGTGCCCCCTACAATCTTTTTTCTTTTATTTTCAGCATTTTAACATTTTTTCAGTTGTTGTTGTTGTTGTTGTTGAGCACAACTCATAGCAACCCTATGACAAAAGGCCTGACTCCCCTCTGCAACTATCAACATTTATCAAAGTTCATAGAGTTTCTTAAGCATGTTATTTAGAAAGTGGAGGCCACTCCTGCTTCCAAATCTGTCATTTTATGTTCTTGTTGAGTATAGCGACCCTATGTACAGCAGCTCTGAACCCTTTCCTATCATCTTGAGCCAGTCTCACTAATGCCAAAACATCAATTCCGATTGCCCCACTTACTGTATCAATCCATCTCACCCACGGAATCCCTCTCCTCGCTGTCCATCCACCCTTTCAAGCATGAAGTCCTTCACCAAGGACCAGTTTCTCCTGGCCACATGGCCAAAGTAAGTGAGGCTGAACTTGAAAATCCTACCCTCCAAGGAGAGACTTTGTTTTACCCTTTCCAAGACAGACATTTGTTTTCTTGGCAGTCCATGGTATGTTCAAGATTCTTCTCTAGCACCACAACTCAAAGGCATCTATTCTTCTTCTGTCATACTTAGTCATTGTCCAACTTTCTGAAGCATAACAAGTAATTGAGAAGACCATGGCCTAGATTAGGCTCACCTATGTATCCATACTTTGGACATGTTGTAAGGAGAGACCGGTCGTTGGAGAGGGATATCATGCTTGGGAGGGTGGAGGGACAGTGCAGGAGGGGAAGGCCCTCTATGAGGTGGATTGATTCAGTGACTGGGGTAATCTGGATGGGTGTATCAGAGACAGTGCGATTGGCACAGGACAGAGCAGAGTTTAGGGCTGTTGTACATAGGGTCGCTATGAGTCGCAAGTGACTCGACGGCACATAACCACAACAACAACATGTGTCCATACTGATGTTGCTCTTCAGCACTCTGGAGAGGTCCATGACAGCAGATTTTCCCAATGCAATTTGTCTTTTGATTTCCTGACTTCTGGTGTTAAGAGTGTTGATTGTGGATCCTAGCAAGCTATAATTGCTAACAACCTCAATATCTTCTCCATCTATCACGGTGCCACCAATTGGCCCAGTGGTGTTATCTTTTTCTTCTAAATATTGAGCTTCATTCAATCCATATTGAAGATTCAGTCCTTGACCTTTTGCAGCAAGGCCTTCCGGTCTCCTGCAATTTCAACAAGCAAGGTTGTGTCATCTGCGTATCGTAGGTGTTAATGAGTCTTCCTCCAATCTTGATGTCACACTCCTCCTCATAAACTTCTGCCTCACTAATGATATGCTCTGCTTACTGATTTAAAAGGTATTGGGACAGGATGCATCCCTGACACACTCCTTTGTTGATTTTGAACCATGCAGTGTTTCCTTGCTCTGTTCTGAGGACTGCTTCTTGGTCCAAGTATAGTAAGTTTTGTATAACCATGATCAAGTGTTCTGAGATTTCCATTTTCCTCGAGGTTAGCCACAATTTATTGTCATCCACACAGTCAAATGCCTTTGCATATTCAATGAAACACAGATAGACATTCTTCTGGTACTCTCTGCTTTCTGCCAAGATCCATCTGACATTGGCAATAATGTCCCCAGTGTCACGACCTCTTCTAAACCCAGCTTGTATTTCTGGTAGTTCTCTGTTAATGTACTGTTCAAGTCTTTTCTGAATAATCTTCAGCATAATTTTGCTACTGTGTGATATTAGTGATATTGTTTGCTAATTTCCACACTCTGTCCGGCCACCTTTTTTCAGAATGGGAATAAATAGGGATCTCTGCCAGTAAGTTGGCCAAGTCTTCCATATTTCTTGGCACGACTTGGTGAGCACATCGAGGCAGCAACTGTTTACTGAAATGTATCAACTGGTATTCCATCAATTCCTGGGGCTTTATTTTTTGCCAAGTTCTTCAGAGTAGCCTGTACTTCCTCCTTCATCACCATTGCCTCTTGATCATATGTTGTACTTGAAATTCTTCTGTCAGCCAATTCTTTTTGGTACAATGACTGTATACTTCTTCCATCTTCTTTTAATGCTTCCTGACTCATTCACTAGTCTGCCCATATCATCCTTAAACATTGCAACTCAAGGCTTGAATTTATTCTTCAGTTCTTTCAGCTTAAGAAATGCTGAGGGAGTTCAGCCCTTTTGGTTTTCCACCTCCAGCTCCTTGCACATATCATTATAATATTTTGCCTTTTCTTTCCTAGTTGCC